AATCTCTGAGAAGGAATTTAAAAAAAAACACAATCCCTATGCCATTAGCACACAAACAAATTAACAATAATTCCATAATATCATCTAACGTTCAATTCATGTTCAAGTTTCTCCAGCTACCTCAGAAATGTATTTTTATAATTGCTTTGACTCAAACAAAACAAGGGGTAGGTCTATTGCACTTGGTTGATATATTTCTCAAGTTTTTTTTTTAAATCTATCAATCATGAACTTACCTATTTTATTGAGTAAAATTTACATAACATAAAATTAGCCTATTTATTTATTTATTTTTGAGACAAAGTTTTGCTCTTGTTGCCCAGGCTGGCATACAATGGTGCAATCTCAACTCACTGCAACTTCTGCCTCCTGGGTTCAAGTGATTCCCCCACCTCAGCCTTCATAGTAACTGGGACTACAGGTGTGTGCCACCACGCCTGGCTAATTTTGTATTTTTAGTAGATACAGGGATTCACCATGTTGATCAGGCCGGTCTTGAACTCCTGACATCAGGTGATCCATCCACCTTGGCCTCCCAAAATGCTGGGATACAGGTGTTAGGCACCGCACCCAGTCAAAATTAGCCATTTTAAGGAGAACAATTCAGTGGCATTTAGTATACCCCCAAAGTTATACAAGTACCACTTATTTCTAGTTCCAAAACATTTTCCTCACACCAAAAGGAAACCCAAAGCCCTATTCATTAAGCAGTTGCTTTTCATTCTCCCCTCCCACCAGCTCCTGGCAACCATCAATCTGCTTTTTGTTTCTATGAATTTACCTATTCTGAATATTTCATAAAATAGAATTATAAAATACATGTCTTTTTGTCTGGCTTTTTTCCCTTAGCATGCTTTTGAAGTTCATCAATATTGTAGCATGTATCAGTACTTCATTCCTTTTTATGGCTGAATATTTCATTGTGTATATATACCACACTTAATACATTAATTTGTTGATGGATGTATTAGTCCATTCTCACACTGCTGTAAGGGTGTAATTTATAAAGGAAAGAGGTTTAATTGACTCACAGTTCTGCATGACTGGGGAGGCCACAGGAAACTTACAATCATGGCAGAAGGGGAAGAAAACACGCTCTTCTTCACATGGCAACAGAGAGAAGAAGAATGAGTGCCCAGTGAAGGGGGAAGTCCCTTATAAAACCATCAGCTCTCGTGAGAACTCAGTCACTATCATGAGAACAGGATGGGGGAAATGGCCCTCATGATTCAATTATCTCCACCTGGTCCTTCCCAGGACACGTGGAAATTATGGAAACTACAATTCAAGATGAGATTTGAGTGGGGACACAGTCAAACCATATCAATGGACATTTGGGCTGTTTCCATCTTTTGGCTATGGTGAACAGTGCTGCTATAACATGCATATACATGTATTTGTTTGAATACCAGTTTTCAATTATTTTGGTTATATACCCAAAAGTGGAATTGCTGGGTCATATGGTAACCTTGTTTAGCTGTTTGAGGAGCCACCAAACTGTTTTCCACAGAGGTGGTACCATTTTACATTCCCATCAGCAATGTATGAGGGTTCCAAATGTCTCCACATCCTTGCCAACACCTGTTATTTTCTGTATTTTTGAGCATAGGAATCATACTGTGTGGAGTGGTGTGAAGTGGTACCTCCTTGTGGTTTTGATGTGCATTTCCCTAATGAGTAATGATGCTGGGCATCTTTCATGTGCTACTTGGCCATTTATATATCTTATTTGCAGAAATGTCTATTCAAGTCCTTTGTCCATTTCTAAACTGGGTTGTTTGTCTTTTTGTTATTGCTGCCTTTTAAAATCTAGTAGTTTTCCTGACTCCTCTCCTTTCTCATGCTATTTATTTACTGAAAGAACCAGGTCATTTGTCCTATAGAATTTCCCTCATTCCCCACTTGGCTGTTTACTCATGTTATTTGTGGTGTAATTTAACTAGTTTTTCTATCCTCTTACTTCCTGTAAAGAGATAATTTAGAAGCAGAGGCTTGATTAGATGTGTGTTGTTATTTTGTGGGGGTACTTCACAGATGGTAAAGGTCCACGCCATTTCTAGAGCATTACAGTGAGAGGCACATAATACCTAGTTGTCCACTTTTTAATTATCCCCACTGTATGTTGAGGAACCTAAGGTTCTGCAGGGTTGCTTAAGGACCCTGAAAATGTTTAGTTCGAATTTTGTTTTAAAAACACACAATTGACCATTGTTTTCTGGACTTCCTTAGGTTGGAGAGGAAGCCAAGTAGGTGAACCCCTGCCCTCCAACCTCCTTCAGAGTTGCTATGCATTTGTGTATTTGGGTTCTAGGTAAGATTTCATCAGAAAAAGTATTACACTAATTTTTAAAAATATAAAATAAAACGAACATATAATAAAATGCATCCCTTCTAAAATGTTAGCTGATTATGTAATTCCATCATAACTGGGGACTTTGGAAGACAGCAAGACCTTGAACTCAAAGGGAAGAAAGTTATTTAATGAAGGAATAGGTACATTTAATGGGAGACATGGTGGAATCTTTTTGGTGTCCCTGAAATCATACAACAAGGGAATCACAGTCTTCCCAGATTATACTCCCCAGATTGCCTCCCATTCATATCATATGTTCCTGCCTCATTAAATGAAAGTGGACTTTTAATAAAAGCAATTCACATTTTACAGTACAGCCCAAAGTTTTATGAGAGAACCACAATAAAAAATGGAAGATGATGTGGTAAGAATATCTGAGAACTTGGCAGTTGCCTCTAGTGTAGTATACAGTTGCCCTTCAGACGTCTTTTGCTGGAAAGATCTCTAATTCTGGTCACAAGAAAAGATCCTCTATCTTTCTGACACAGAATATACACACTTTTTGTAATACCTTAAATCAATACCTGATAGTCCACTAGGCTCTTCCCTTGGCATTCTATTAAAATTGAGCTCCTCTCTGTAACTGAATGTTGAACACATCAAGGTGATGGATAGTGCATCAGTCCCTGTCCCCAGGTTTTTGGAGGCAAAGTCTCCAACCTTCTTGTGGCTAGAAGGAGATTTATGAATCTTTGCCTCAATTCCAGTTTAATCCTCAAGTGTCTGCTTTTAGATTGTTGAAGGCCTGTAAAGTCTGCCCTTCATGAAAATAGGAACAGCAGGATGGACACAGAACTGGATCACATTGTAAGGAGACAGAGTGATCACTGAGTCCCCGTATTTCTTCTGGGATGAGAAGACTTCAGTTCTAATTACCCTGTTCTTCTGCTCTGTAGTATTGTTTTCAGACTAGAAGATTTTGCCAGTAGAAGGAACACTTTAGCCAGAGTCACTGCTTATTCATTGAATACAGTTATGCGCCATGCAATGATATTTTGGTCAACAATGAACCCCATATATGAGGATGGTCCCATAGGATTATAATTGAGCTGACAACTTCTTATCATCTAGCAACATTGTAGCTGTTGTAACATCTAGTGCAACACATTACTCATGTGTTTGTGATGATGCTGGCATAAACAAACCTACTGCCATGCCAGCTGTATAAAAGTATAGCACATACAATTCTGTACAGTACATAATACTTGATAATGATAATTAACTAGGCTACTGGTTTATATATTTACTATACTATATATTTTTTACTATTAGAGTATACTCCTATTTTTTAAAAAAAGTTAGCTGTAAAACAGCCTCAGGTAAGTTCTTCAGGAGATATTCTAGAAGAAGGCATTGTTATCACAGGAGACAGCAGCTCCATGTGTGTTACTGCCCCTGAAGACCTGCCAGGGGGACAAGATGTGAAGGAGGAAGACAGTGAAATTGCTGTGTAGGCCTAGACTAATGTGTGTTGCTTGTGTATTAGTTTTTTTTTTTTTTTAAAAAAAACAAAGTTTAAAAAGTAAAAAACAAAAATAAAAAATTTAAAAATTAGAACAAAGCGGTCAGGCGCGGTGGCTCACGCCTATAATCCCAACACTTTGGGAGGCCGAGGCAGGCAGATCAAGAGGTCAGGAGATTGAGATCATCCTGGCTGACACGGTGAAACCCCGTCTCTACTAAAAATACAAAAAAAATTAGCCTGGCGTGGTGGCGAGCGCCTGTAGTCCGAGCTACTCCGGAGGCTGAGGCAGAAGAATGGCGGGAACCCGGAAGGTGGAGCTTGCAGTGAGCCGAGATTGCACCACTGCACTCCAGCTTGGGCAACAGAGACTCCGTCTCAAAAAAAAAAAAAAAAAAAAAAAAAAAAAGAAATTAGAACAAAGATTATAAAATAAGGATATAAAGAAAGAAAATATTTTTTGTACAGCCGTATATGTGTGTTTTGAGCTAAATGTTATTGCAAAAAAGAGAGATACATTTTTTTAAGTTTCTAAGGTAAAAATGTTACAGTAAGCTAAGGTTAATTTATTATTGAAAAAAATTTAAAAATCAATTTAGTGTAGCCTAAATGTACAATGTTTATAAAGTCTACAGTAATGTACAGTATGTCCCAGGCTTTCCCATTCACTCACCCTCACTCACTAACTCACCCAGAGCAAATTCCAGCCTGCAAGCTCCATTCCTGGTAAGTGCCCTATACAGGTGTGCCATTTAAAAAAGCTTTTTATAAATAATTGTTACCATACCTTTTCTATGTTTAGATACAAAAATATTTACCACTGTGTTACCGTTGCCTATGGTATTCAGTACAGTAATACGCTGTACAGGTTTGTAGCCTAGGAGAAATGGCTATATCATACCATCTAGGTCTGTCCTCACTCAGACAGGATCAAATCCCCACTGTAACCCTTGGTCACTGTCTGATTTTAGACCAATCACTTACGCTCTCTGTGCTTAAGTTCTTATCGTTATAATGGCAGCGGCTGCCTCACAGATTTGTGAAGAGTAAAAACGTTACCCCACGCCTACTCTTCATATAAGCGATGAATACATTGTAAGTACACTTTAAATGGTTCACATTCATATATTGGAAACATGTTAATAACAGAAAAAACTTCAGCTAATATTTCTAAGTGTGAAACTAATGGTCAGTGAGCAATACCGGATTTTAGTTGACATTTTAAGTGTAGCACATGCCTCACTCACGTTCCCCTGCGGGTCCTCTGGCTTGGATGATAAATATCAGTCTGTGGGAACTGACAGAATGGCTGCCAAAGATCTGGCAATAGGAAGGATCTTCTTATCACAGGCTGTGCTTCGAATCCTGGGGAATTTCTGTTTTCTTTACCGTTATCTCTTCCTTTACTTCACTGGGCTCAGGTTAAGGTCTACAGAGTTGATTATCAAGCACCTGACTGTAGTCAACTCTTTATTCTTAACCCTCTCAAAGAGTTTGGCAGACAATAGGAGCTTTGGAGTGGAAACCTTCCCTGAGTGATTTCAGATGCAAACTTCTTTTCTATGTTCACAGAGTAGGTAGGGGCGTTTCCACTGGCACCACCTGCTTCTGAGTGTCCTCCAAGGGATCACAATCAGTCCCAGGAACTCCAGGTGGGCAGAGTTGAAAGTAAAAGCCCCTAAGTACATTGGTTGCTCCATATTCCTGTGGTGGATCCTGTAAATTCTGGTAAATATCTTTTTTCCTATGTATGTGACTGGCAAATTGAGTAACAGAAACATCACAAAGACAAAAGATTTAGGATACTACTCTCCTGTTCGTCCTGACAAAAGCAGAGAGTCACTCCATGCCACATTGCTGCTGTTCCCAGATGTTTTATGTTTGGGAATCATGCCAGTGGCTCCATGGTTTTCATTCTTTACAGGCACGAGCAGCAAGTCCAGTACATACATAGGACCAATATCCCCCCCAGATTCTTCCCTGAGTCCAGAGCTATCAAAATCCTGCTCCTGGTGAGCACTTTTTTTTTAAAAAAAAATCATTTTATACCCCCTTCTTCACCTTTCGTTTAGCTCTTTTTAATACTCCTAGTTGGCTGATGGTGCACTTTTCTGTAACAACAAAGTCAAGTTTCCCAAATGTCAGCCCTTTGTTCTTAGGAGTAGAGACTCCCCAGTGTATTCAAGCTTTGCTTTTTCTGGGTAAGTAAACCCCCTAATCTCAGAAATATGTGAATTATATGTGTTTGTACAATCTGCGTTTGTATAGGTACACTCTATGATGTTCACACAATGATGAAATGACACCTAACCATGCATTGCTGAGAATGTATCCCCAACATTAAGTGACATATGACTGAAGTTCTATTATCATTGCTGACATCATCATCATCACTGTCCTCCTCATCATCATCACCATCATCATCATTACGCCTGTATTCCAGCATAATGTTGGAAGAGAGGACAATTAATGCCTCTGTTAACCTTCTGTAACTCAGAAGAAAAGGGCTGAGAAGCAAAGGAAGAAAAAGCAGCCAGTCCAAGGCTCAGACCAGCTGCTGGCCCCACAAACTCCATATGTACTGTAGAAACTTAATTGCCTTTTTAATTGCCCAGACAGAATTCTCATGGATTGGCCATGAGAATTTTGGCTTGATTTCACCAGCTTTTATTGAAGCTGACAAAAAGAACTATATACAATAAAAGTGAACTTTTAGACACAAATATCAAGGTTCATCAGCCCCCAAGCCCTTTCTCCAAGTCAGTCCCCAACTATGACTGTAAGCCAAGGTGAGCAGATACTGTTAAAAGAAAGGTCACCTCAGGCACACACACAAAATAAAACTGCATAGCAGGCCTTCTAGGGGCCTCCTCCCTATTCACCAAGGCTGTGTTCCTTATAATATAGAAATCATGCTTTGTGTGTACAGAGTTAGGTGTAAAATGTTCAATATGTCCAACAACTGGAGAAAACCTAAATGCTCAACAGTGGGAAGACAGGGAAGTATAAGTGAATTTTGAAACATTAAAAAGGATGCTGCAGAAAATGGATTGATGGGGAAAGATTTTCATGATAAATTACTTATAAAATAAGGCAGGGGGCATTTTACATATTTATACTATTTCTTTTAAGTTTTGGGTATGTTTAGTCTTGAAGGAACTATGTGTAGTTTATATGGGAAGAGGAAGGAGTTTCTACTATAAACCTTTGATATATTTGCATGGATTGGCTTATCAGGCTAGCTAACTGTAGAAGGCACAGACATTTTGGAGCAACGGGAATGGAGCAGAGAGTGAGAATGGCTCCACTTGGGAAGAGGAGAGAAAGGGCTTGGGGAACAAGCCTAGATCACACTTGGGAAGAAGAGGGAAAGGGCTTGGGGAAGAAGCCTAGATCACATAGAAGCAGTACTGCCTGGTTAATGGGGGAAGGTGCAGATGGAAAAATTAGTGGAGTAAATGAAGGCTTGGTGTGATGCACCAAACTCCAGACTTTGAGCCTTTCTTAGTTTGGTCTAAGTATGTGGGGTAGTAGGGTAATGTCAGGGCCTGGGCTCCAGCTGACATGAAGTGGGATAGGAGTGACCCTGTGATGTTTCTGTTTTGTTGTTATTGTTTTGACCTTTATATTCTTTCTTTAACCTACTTGGTTCTGAGCAGGGAGACTTGACTGTCCCCTCTTGAGTATCTTAAAGCCCAGGAGTGATGCAACGAACATCAGCTAAAAGAAAACAAGTGGGTTCAGAGGGAGGGTGATAATGCGGACAACACATACGTGGATCCTTTTCTTCTTTTTTTTTTTTTTATTATACTTTAAGTTCTAGGGTACATGTGGATAACGTGCAGGTTTGTTACATATGTATACTTGTGCCATGTTGGCGTGCTGCACCCATCAACTCGTCATTTACATCAGGTATAACTCCCAATGCAAGTAGCAGTTCACTGCCCTGAATGTACTGCCCCCGGTAGAAGATGGGTTAGGATTCAGAGCCTAACATCAAACATTGGGTACTTTGTTTCAACAGGTTAAAAAGAAACTCATGGTGTCACTGCAAATATATCTGAAAGGTGTTGGCAGCTTCAAAGGGATTCATTAAGAGATTTTCCCATTAAAATACTTGGAAGTTTACTAAACTGCATAAAGGTGCTTTTATAAAAGCAGGCCCAGGAGGCATTTTAATAAAGACCTCCAGTTAGATAACTGGACCAAGAGAGCTGTGTTAAAGGCTTGGAAGGGAGAGCAGTTTGCTGTAACACATCTTCAAGGGTGAAGTTCCTAACCCTTCTCACCTTGACTTTCCCTTCTTTAAAATGGTAATAATAATAGCCAGCCTAAACTGGGTGCTGTGTGGAGTGCCTGTAGTCCCAGATACTCAGGAGGCTGAGGCAGGAGGATTGCTTGAGCCCAGGAGTCCAGCCTGGGCAACATAATGCAGACGTTTGCTCTAACAATAAATAAATAAATAAACAGACAAATCAAATACTCAGCCTTACAGTGATGTTGAAAGGGTTAAATACTATTTTTATTTACTTGTGAAAAAAGTCTATTATTAAATTGCAACTAATTAATGTTAATTCTTTTTTTTTTTTGAGACGGAGTCTCGCTGTGTTGCCCAGGCTGGAGTGCAGTGGCCGGATCTCAGCTCACTGCAAGCTCCGCCTCCCGGGTTCACGCCATTCTCCTGCCTCAGCCTCCCGAGTAGCTGGGACTACAGGCGCCCGCCACCTCGCCCGGCTAGTTTTTTGTATTTTTTTAGTAGAGAGGGGGTTTCACCGTGTTAGCCAGGATGGCCTTGATCTCCTGACCTCGTGATCCGCCCGTCTCGGCCTCCCAATGTTAATTCTTTTATAGGTAATACAAAAGGTACTCAGCATTACCATCTGAACCAAAATCTGTGGCACTTGGTTTAGAAAGATCCTAGGTTTTCTCTCGGTGACTCATACCTAAAAGACAAGTGATAGAAGAGGAAGGTTCAACTCAGCCCACTCCTCAAGGCTCAGAATGATGAAAATGGTGGGATGTTCAAGGAAGGAGGTAGTCAGAAGGTCAGAATTTGAAGAACGGAAATATTTTCTCATCCCCATCATGTTCAAGTGATACTTGGTCTTAAGAAGTGAAACCTATAAGGGCTGATAAAATTTTGGAGCTTTCTGAAAGAGAGCTCAAAAAGATAAGAAAGAAGAGAGGAGCCATTGTTGAAATGACATATACACACTGTAATAGTGAACCCTGGACAAAGAGATACACCATTATTGCAATTTGGCTTTCAGTCCAGAGACCAGTTCAGCCAAATACTTTGTTCATGCTTTTTAAAACTCAGTGGCGAGTACATAAAAATGTCTGCAACCCTGAAGAGGTTGTTAAATTCTTTCTTAAGAACAAGACAGAAAGGAGAAGTGATTTACTGGAGTAGGTTGCTGGGTTTGTTTTTTATTTTTATTTTTGCTCTTCTAATTCCCAAGCCCACAGCAGCCCGTCTAGTTGAATCTTGATTTGTTTTTGTCTCATATGAATGTGAACATCCATCCTCCCAGCAGAAATGGTAAATAGCTGTACACGTCTCTGTCATGAAGTAGTCATAAATAACCATCATTTATGGGGCTGGTGGGAGGGCAACTTTTGGGCTTACAGAACTACCTGCAGAAACACTGTTCTGTGAAGTTTTTTTTATAACTGAAGGAGAGAAAACATTGATTTTTGTTGAGGTTGCTTAAAAGTGTTATTTTAAAGTAATACATATACGCAGTTAAAAAAAAGAAGCTGCCATGTCATAGAATGGCATTAAATGAAAAGACTGTGTCCTGTGTGGCATCCACTTCTCTGCCCCAGTGGTATCCACTTATGGATTATAAGTTTTAGGTTACACAAATCATGCATGAATATGATTGTAAAAATTTCAAACCATACAGCATACAGATAAGCTTGAGTCCCTCTAGACCATCACTCCAATTACATTGCCCTTCTCAGAGGTAACCGCGATTGTTAACACTGGTTGGTTTTCTCCCAGATCTCTATGATCTTTATAAGTATGCATGTTTTGGTTTTTATTTTACAGAAATGGTATACCACATTTGTTACCTAGCATCTTGCTTTTTTGACTTAACAATACATTTTGAATATCTTTCCATGTCAGTAAATATATCTTCATTTTGCTTCTTTAAACTGCTGTATACTATGAATGTGGGATAATTTATTTCTGTACAATAGACATTTAGATATTTCCAATTCTTCATTATTGCAACATGGAGCTGCAATGAACATCATTGTCCCTACTTTTTGGTATATACGTGAAAGTTTTTCTCTGAAATAGATAAAAAGTATCAATTTTCAGCTTGTAATCCCGGCTACTCAGGAGGCTGAGGCGGTAGAATCATTTGAACCCAGGAGTCAGAGGTTGCAGTGAGCCGAGATGGCGCCACTGCACTCTAGCCTGGTCGACAGAGTGAGACTCCATTCCCCATCACCCCCCAAATTATCAGTTTTCAGCGATTTATATTTTTAGTTTTGTGGTTTTTTTTTTTTTTTTTTTGAGACAGGGTCTCACTGTTGCCCAGGCTGGAGTGCAGTCACGCAATCTCAGCTCAACCTCTGCCTCCCAGGCTCAAGTGATTCTCCTGCCTCGGCCTCCCAAATAGCTGGGACTATAGGCACGTGCCACCACGCCCAGCTAATTTTTTTGTATTTTTGGTAGAGACAGGGTTTCGCCATGTTGGCTAGGCTGGTCTTGAATTCCTGGCCTCAAGTGATCCGCCTGCCTTGGGCTCCCAAAGTGTTGGTATTACAGGCATGAGCCACTGCAGCTGGCCTATTTTTAGTTCTTTTGTTGGCTAGTTATCGTGATCATTTAGAACAATATGCTAATTATTTATTTCTTGATTTACCAAATATAGATCTTATCAATTGACTTTTTACTATGAAAGATGAGGAATTTAGCTATATATATGACTTTTCATTCCCAAGTTTTATTAAATATATTTTTATTATTGGCTCTTCTGTTGATTACCACTTTATATAACACACTTAAGTGTCTAGTTCTTACACAGTCAACTTTAGACAATATCTTTTCATTCTC